CGTCTTGATTGTAAACTTATATAATTTTTGTAAAATTGTAATAATATCATTTTTGTTATAGAATATACCCAATGTTGAATCTTCAAAGAAGAAAAGGGAAAAAAAAAAAATCCAATTTAGAAAACTTCCTTCTAATTTTAAATCAGCAGGAGTGGTTAGTAACAGAAGCATTTATAAGTTTGGGCCGGCCTGTTACAAGAAAATCCAACAGCGGCCTATTCCAAACGGGCCTACTGCCGAGTTTTCAATTTCTGTAGGGCCTATACCATACGTCGCTATTAGTGAGAGAAAAGAAAATGATGAAATTGCCATTTTGTCCCCGTGTCGGTAATCTAGCAGCTTTCGAAATTGCACCTCCGGAGAGCCCACATTTTATATCCACAACGTGCCTCCTCCCAGGCCACGGGGTGGAGAACGATAATCTCGACACATGAAATCAATGAGACATATAACGTAGCACAAAGCTTGTTGGAAAATGATATCAAACCTAACTCAGGATAGATACATCCTCCTATTTTGTATGAAAAAAAAAGTTTTTAAAACATCGACACCAAATTTCTGGATATGAATACAAACGTCAATCATTGTTGCAACGGTCACTCCAATTATTTGTGGGTTTGAAGTGCCCAACAAATCTTTTTTCTTTTTTATTTTAGATGACATAATGAAAGATAAAATTATCATATTTTTTAACTCATTTAATTTATGTGTTATATAATTTAAATTTATAATATTTTATTTTTATTAAAAAAATTTATTATTAACTTATTTAAGTTGGTGAGAAGATGGGAAAGATCTTAAGCATAATCATAATAAGGAAAAAAAAAATTAAGTTTATAAATGCACGTTTGTGGTACTGCACTGCGTGACAGGAATACCGACATTAATTTCCATATCTAATCATAGTATATAATTGAGGTCTGTCGTCTTGTAACTTTCATGAATTTTCATTTCCTGCCTTTTAAGATACGGAACAAATTAATTAAAGGTGATTTGCTGCAAAAATTATTTTTGGTAAACGACTATTTGTATATTTTTCGTTCTCTTGGGCATGGTAGATGAACTGTTGCAACTGTTTGTTTTTTATACATTTTCGTAACCTAATTAATGTTACGTGGGAAATTAATGTCATAGCAAAGAAAAATGGAGGAGGTGATGGGTAACCAGCAAGTACTCTATCTTCTTTGAGGACATTTTGAAAATAAAGGGGCCACGTTTGTGTATAATAAAAATTGTAGTAGATATTAATTTAGTTAAAAATGTATTTGTTATGTTTTTTTACTATTAAATTATATGAAAAGTATAAAATAAATTTAATTTAATTAATTAATTAATTAAAATTATTTACAAAACAAACAATATTAAAATAAAAGTTAATTTTTATGTTTTTATATATTAATTGTAAAATTTTACATTTATTATACTCTGAAAAATATACTCCCTCTGTTCCATAATATTAGTCGTTTTAGGAGAAAATTTTTGTTTCTAAATAATTGACGTTTTAACATATCAATGTTACATTAATTATATTTCTTCCAAAATTACCCTCCTCTCTCTTAAAATATCTGTATTACGCCTATTCATCTGCCTCGTTTTTTCTCATTTCTTCTTTTTCTTGTTTGAAATTCATTTTTTCTCCGTTTCACTTTTATCTCTTCCATGACTCAAATCTATTTTGCCTCTTTCATCTACTTTCGTCTTATCTCTTCTATTCTATAATCGAAATTCATTTTTCCTCTTTCATCTTCTCTTTCATCTACAACCCAACCTTACTTTTCCTGTGTCTCTCACTAAGAATGCCAATGGTGGCACTTAGAACAAGGCTTATTGCCTTTGGATTCGATCCCAAGGAAAACGATCTTGCCTTCGACCATGGTGGATCTGAGGTCGAGCATGGAGATCTCTTTTATGTTTGATTGACAGTAGCAACACACTTATGAAGGGACCTTTTAAGGGGATCTGAGAAGAAATAAATGTGGGAATGGCGAAGGAAGGGATGAGAATAAGAAAATGGTGGCATTTGAGAGGAGTGAAGCCATTGCTGTCATGGATTGCAGAGGAGGACATGGGAGAATCTAGTGAAGTAGAGGAGAAGATGAGGAGTGATAACGTCAAAAAATTTGAAAAGGGTAAAATAGTACTTTTAACTTATAAATCCCTAAAATGAAGAGTAATAAATTACTTTTCTTAATCTATGTGCACAAACTTAAAACGACAAATATTGTAGAACAGAGGGAGTAGTTTAGACAAATCTAATAAAATTAAACCATTTTACTTACTCGAAGCAGAAGATTGGAAGAAAAAGACATTGGAATTAAAAAATTTTTCCTTTTCTTTTGAACAAGTATTAAATGCAATTAATTTGATTGATTATTTAGCAAGTTTAATTGAAGATCAAGTAAATCATGTGTTAGGTACATGATGGGTTAAACTGATTAATTAATGTTAAAAGAAATAATCATTAATGAAAACATATAATGGAGGGTGACCACATGGGAATAAAAGGTTAGGCATGCACTTTGGGGCAAGATCAACAATTAAGAGAAGGGGTCCCCCCAAATAATCAAAGATATGGCCAGTTGCATGGTACCAACTACCAACCAATATTCCGAAACTGTTATACTGACATATACATTATTTTTTTCTCTACGGCGGAAGCAAGGGCGAAACAGCCAAAAACCATAGAATAGCGTTAACGGATATGACATTGCCTTTGGAGTTGTTTGGATTTGATATTGCCTTTGGAGTTGTTTGATATATAGAAATGTTTTGAAACTAATAGTTAATTTGATAGTTAATACTGCTGTTTTTTTGCTTTTGGGACTGGTGTCAGGTTCCAATCCTTTGTACAGTCCAGTCTTAACTCCTTTCTTTCTTTTTGCACGTATTTTTCCAAATGTCTTAACTCCTTTCCTTCCATTTGCACGTACTTTCCAAATGTAATGGGTGAATACCCTTTACTCCGTCTTTTAATAAAATTTTATTTATAAAAAATATGATAGTTAATAATAATTATTAATAATTTAAATATTTTTATTTATTAAATTAAGTGAAAGTAACAATTAATAATTTTATTTGATCTAATAATTTATCTTCATTACTTGTGTAGAATTTACTTCTCATCTTATTAGTTAAACAAAAAATAATGTTAACAAGAGCTATTTAAATTGAAAAAAATTAAGATATCATTAGTAAATCATGCATGACTGATATTTTCGATTTGAACTGATTTTTTTTTTTTTTGAAATTAATGTTTGTAAAAGAAGTAATTAAAAACAAAAAGAACCATATCATCATCTATATATATATAAAATAAATAATTTACTGCTTCCAGTTTCCAACAAGGGAGGAACAAAAGGAAAGTAAAATTTACAATATATAGATTGGGGGGATGAATACGTGGTCCTATCTCTGTACTTGATGATTATCGTTTGTCTTCCCTTCCTGCATGTGATATAGCCAACATTGAAACTAGGCCGTTTGCATGGAAAATACAAAATACTCTCGTCGATACATTCGTGCAGAGATCACAGCTTCTGCATGTAAATGTTGAATAGAGACTGATCAACTGAGGCAGTAAATGTTTTCTTTAATTATAGATTAAATACCTAATTTAGTCTCTCAATTATTGTACAAACTCTTAAATCAATTCTTAAACTAAAAAAGCTTATGATTTGATCCTTAAAATTTTCAAGTTTAACCCAAGTTAATCCTTCTGTCAAAAAACAACTGGAATGTTTGTTACATGATAGCAAAAAACTATTACTTGATGGCCATCTATCAAGTTAGTAACATAATACGTTAGCTGTCATTTGTTTTCAATCAGAGAGGTCAATTTGGAATCAAATATAGAAATTTAAGGACCAAACCATGATTTTTTTTAGTTCAAGAACCAATTTAACGATCCATACAATAGTTAAGGGATCGAATTGAAGGTTTAACCTTAATTATATGAATGAATGGCGCTGGACTCTGATGGGTAAACCCTTTGGAAAGTCGACGAAAGGGAAGGCAAAGGCATGATCGGTCTCGTCAACCAATTCCCAGTTGAAGTTGAGGACCAGATGGTGGATGAAAACCGCCATCTCGAGCTTAGCCAATTCTGATCCTGCACAAAGCCGTGGTCCTCCCCCGAATGGCATGAAGTAATTGCTTGCAGCTGTTGAAGTGGAACCGCTACGTCCAATGTTATTTTGCTGCACACAATGGGCCAAAACAGAGATATAGTTGCACAAAATCTAAAATAAGCATTCAAAGACTTAGAAGTAATATTGACTTTTCCCAGATTTGACAATGAACAATACAAGATGGAGTAATCTTTTTCTCTTTAAGCTTAAATTGACTAAACATTTACTCGTGATATAAACAACGACAGCCTTTAAATATCAATGTAAAATTACACCCAACAACTGTAACTGCAATAAATTTTTAGTCAATTCAAATTATAAAACCGCAACCTTTTAAAAAAAAAAGGTAATAATTATAAAGGAAATGAAAAGCACTTGTGCACGTGCACGCGAGAACCCCACAACCACATGGGGAACTTTAATCATCATCTTAAAACCCCCCACACCTCCCCACACGGAGGAGAAAGTGATTATCAGGGAAGTTTTTTTTTT